GCAGTGGCCGAACTGACGGCTGACTGACTCGAGCCCTCAGATGCTGGACGTATATTCACACCATAATGTCCACAGGACCAGAAAGGAAAGAGCTCCTGTGCTCTCGGGCTGTCTGATCCGATCTGATCTGCGTGTTGACTGGACGAAGGCTGATCATGAACCATTATTAAATCAGGCCCGAGCCACTTTCAGTCAGGGACGAGGTGGGCAGGGAGGGAGCGAGGGAGCGAGGGAGGGAGGGAGGGAGCTTAGCTACGAGACTGTTTCGAGAGTAGCTGGGGGAGGGAGGGAATTGAACTGGAAGATGGTACAAAGTTGATGAACCATGGCTGGCTCGCTGGCTGGACTTCTTCTTCTCCTTCTGCCTTTTCTGGCTGTTCACGTCAACCCCTCAGCCTCAGGCTGTGAAGCAAAATCTGTCCCGGTCTTCCTCGTTCACCGTGCACCGATTCGTCACTCGTCTGAGAATCTTGTGGCTTGTGGAAGCGGACCTCGAGGCGGTGAGATCTATCAAGTTTCCGATGTCCTAGAACGTCCGACTCCTCCTCGTCCTCGTCCTCGGCTCTGCCTCTGCCTCTGCGTCTGGCTCGAATCTGATGGATCAGTCCGTGTGCTTGTACGGGTGTGGAGAACACCACCACCCGCCCCGACAAACAGTGATGGAGATAGATAATACAGCTCTGACACTGCTGATCTCGTCACGATCCATGCCCTGCCTGGCACATCGATTCGGCCATCCACACATTCTTCGGTGTTCCGAGGAGCTGATGGGTGGAGGAGGGGAAGGCGGGGAACGAGCAGAATCTGCATGACGCAGCTGAGCTGAGCTGAGCTGCAATCGCAAGCCGTCGTCGCTGCTCGTGTTGTCCAGAAAGGGAGAGCTGATCAGCCCGGAACTATTGCCACTGACGGACAGAATCGGTACGAGTGCTGCTGTAGAGCGAGTGGCAGCAGGGACCTGTTTGGTGGGTAAACGGTGCCAATTCGGTCGGCCGCGAGAGCGATACTGTTGAAGAACATGGGAACATGGACTCGTCCCCAAGTCAAACATTTAATGGCCCATTTACTGCTCGGTGCTGGAATGGAATGGAAGGGAAGGGATGGCGAGGCAAGGGCACATGGTCAAATCCTCCCTCGGCCACTGGATCACCGTCTCGTGCACCCAGCACCAAACGAACATCACTTCTCTCGTTGCGCTCGCAAGCAAGCAAGCAGAGAATGAACGAAAGGTGATGCTAGTGTCTCGACACGGGCACCGATGTTCTCTCGGGACTGCAGACTCCGAAAGATCTTAGGGAGGGAACTCGTAACTCACTCGCTCTCTCATTCTCCCGAAACTTCACTCGACGAATGATGTAAAATCCTCGTCGTCCGACGTAGTTCTTCACCTCGCCTTTCGAGTCATCGAATGTCACCTTCAGGAGCTTGAAGAAACACCTCCTCCCCACTGACAGCCTCGATTGATTGTGCTCGATCTACACGTGCACAATCAATTCCCCTTTACGAAGCGCTGCAGTTTATGCAAGCAAGACAGACGAACGGGAACGAACAGTCTTGACTATCATTCGAGCTTCTATAAGCTTAAAACCACATCGTAGAATGGCGAGTTAGTTAGTTAGACAGTCAGGCACGCAGCAGCGACCCTACGAGGCTGCAATAAAAATTAGAGTAGGTAGGGCTGAGGTTGATGTTGAGCATGGGGTCGAGGCTTTCAATACACCAGAGCTGTCTCCAGTTTTTCGTAGACGGAATGGGGAGGAAGACCATTAAGCTACTCTTACTGTGACTCTGCATCATTACAAGGCAGGCAGGCAGGCAGGCAGGCACTCGAGTGAGCTGCAAGGGTCTGAAGCGTGGTTCCTCGTATTAGGGACAAGGCACTGCACTGCAGTCGACCTCGTAGGGGATTCATTTCGCTCTTCATCCTGAGATCTCGCTCGCCTTCACCTCACGAGTCGAACTCCGATCCTTGATGGAGTCTGCCTACCTACCACGTAAACCATGACCAGCTGGTTTCAATGCAGATTCAGGGCGTCGTCAGTGGGAGTTTAAGTTGCACTAACTACATCCCTCGTAACCACATCCCATGCCGGTGCAACCGATTTCGTGAGAATCGACAGCGACAGCATGATCATCGATCTTCGCTTGAATCTGGGAAGATCTGCTGGAAGGAAGAGCAGTCTCGAGCCTTTACTCGTCACATGGAGGAGGATTCTACGAGAGCTTGAAGTCAACTGAATTCATGCAGCATACCTCGAAGAGTGGATGCTGAGGATAGGGAAGGGGGAGAATTCCCCCCACGAGTTGAGGTTGTTGGAACCTTGAGATTCGGTGGGATTCGAGTTCCCGACCCACTTCAAGCACATTCAATATCGTCTTCAAAAACACCACAGCCACCAGTGACCGGCCCATCGACACTTATGTGAGCGAATCTTGAGCTTCATTGTCTGCCATTGAGATAAAGCAATTCGTTCATAGAGGCAATAATAACTGAAGAAACCGCAAGCAAGTGAAGTGGATTCGGTGGATTCGGTGGATTCCAGCCCCATCCATTGTTTGTTGAGCGATCCCCCTTGAAACTGGAAATGTTGACACGCGGACTCCAAGACATACATTTTCACTCTCACTCACTCACTCACTCATACTCCCGATGTACACTCGAGATTCTACATGAACATGGGGAATGTACCAGACCAGACCAGACCAGACCAGAGCACCGTAGTCGTCCAAGGAAGTCCACTAAAACCCTAAACCCTAAACCCTTGCATGACGTTTTCATGCCGAAGAAATCCACGTCCTCCCTCGTTCGTGTGAGGCCGGTTGGGGTACCAGCTTCTCGAGCTTGAGCTTGGGGTTGGGCTTGGCTTCGACCTCGATTCAGGAGCGGAATTCAGCACTGCCTTCAATGCAGACTCGTCGTCCATTTGGTCGAGGGGGTGTGCAGCTTTGGCTCATTTCTCATGACTAACTTGACTGACTGACTGACTGTCTGTCTGTCTGTCTGTCTGACGGAAGGACGGACGGAGGGACTGCAAAGCAGATCAGGAAACTCTTTTCTCTCGATCCGAAGTGTGCGCTCTCGACCGACAGGCTCGAGAACGGATCGAGATCGGGCCGACCGCAGAAGCAGAATTTGCTTCGCGCTTGGCGAACCCATTCTTTGGCAATCGAGTGGGTTGGGCACTTTCTCCCAAACTCTGTCTCTACATTCTCTCTCCCTCGTTCCTTTCCTAGTTCTCTGCTCCTCCTCCTCCTCCTCCTCCTCCTCGACCCTCGGCCTCTCGCTCTTCAGAGCTTTCATCCGCCTTTTGGTTTTGCATGATGCGAGACCCACACGTCATCCTGGATCGATGGGGTGGGGGGGGGGGGGGGGGGGGGCTGAGCCACAGCTGGAGTGTCACCAACAGAGCGTTCGACACAGTACACAATGCCATCGAGGAAATAGGTCAAACCCTGAGCTTGTCACCAAGTTGCAGCCCAGACTCCCAGAGCCGAAAATCGAGGGGGAGGGAGAGAGGGGGCAGTAACAGTGATCGAGGACTGAGGGAGGAAGGGAGGGAGTAAGTTGACGAGGCTTTAAAAACGTGATGGTTGGAGGGGCCTTGCAGTCCATGCAGCTTTTGGCGAGAGAGGCCCTTTTGTTTGGCCCTTTATTAAAGGCTCTTCTCTTTTGGTTTATTGTATTTTATAAGGAAGAGTAGGAGCAGTTAAGAATCGCAGATAGCAAAGCTGCAGACCGAGAAAATGAACCAGTGGCAGCACGAGGCTGCTGGTCACAGTTGTCATGCTGCTGCTGCTTCTGCTGCCGCCGGAGAGAGCTATAGCGCCGAGGCCTCGCCTCGCCATTCATGTTGGCAAGAGCAGCGGCAGCAGCAGCAGCAGCAGCAGCCACCAACAAGTGTTGTTATCCAACACCGTTCGAGTTCAATAATGTCTTGAGGGAGACACGATCGTTCAGACGTCCCTTGGCTAACGAAGGCCTTGCACGAGCTCGGGTCTTCCTACTTATGGAACTGATTAGGCAGTCCAAACACTGACAAGCTCGCTGAGTCGTGGCTCAACTAGTTCGTCCGCCAGCAGTAGAAAGGTTGTGATCGCTGACGGTTTCCCTTGGCCCAGACGTGAAAATAGTTAGAGGGTAGACTGCGAGTGTTAACGTCAGAGATCAGAACCGGAAATACTGGACACACTGTAACTTTTCATCGCACTGAAGACGACGACAGTTGGCAGATTGAAGGGAGGCCTTGGGCGAGGGGGCTTGGGGCAGGAGGAGGAGAGTTTGAGGGAGGACTGTCCAGAGACGAGTGATTTGGGCAGCGGCTAATGAAAATCTTCCTGCCTGCAAGCCTGCCTGCTGACTCCCTGCCTGCGTGCCTGCCTGACTCCCTCGTCCCTCGGTGCATTTGGCTCTGACCTGGCCTGGTTAGTGGGGGAGGAAACCTGACAGCTCTGGTTCACGAGCTGAGTTGCAAGCCTTTGGCCTAGTGCTGCTCATGATGACACAATTTAGTAACATTTTCAACCTTCAATTTTCCTTACACCACTGTCCTTTTACTGTGCATCATTCACACACAGGGCTGAAGGAAAACCATAACTTTTGATGCAGTAGGGCCCAACATGAGTTACTCAACAAGGAATGTTGTATTCTTCGAGACAAACAGCAGAAGCATGCAACGGTGGGAAACACACAGGAGCTGCTCGAAGCCCTTCTGTCTGGTGGCATAGTACGTCTTGCCGGCGACCACAATTCTGCAGTGTTGTAGCAACATGGATACATTCGCAGGTGCACGCAGAAGCCCGAGGGTATTGTGAAAGTGCGTGCCTTTCCAGCAGACCAAATTTTTCGGGCCTTGCCTTGCTTAATTGACCAACCTGGCGCCCCAAATGCCAACAGGCAAACCAATACAGTGGTGGCAAATCTCGAACAGGAGAAGCAATACAGGTAGCCATGAAAGTGAGTTTCACACACGAGCACTGCATGCCTGCCCCGCTCACTCTCTGAAAGAATCCGAAGTGTTTTTTATTCAGATATTGCAAGATACGTTCGCACGTATTGCAATAGAGGTAATATGCACATGGCCGACTTACTGCCGACCTCAATCAAACTTCGTCTTCAAATTTTAAAATTTTCCTACTTCTGCCGATATGTATATGTAAGTAAGCATTCGTATAGGCTGCACCCAAAAATCTTATTCGTAATTTGACTCGGATATAGACATCTACTCTCATCTGAAGACGAAGAAATTGCTGCACATGTAGCAAACCAAGCAGTATCCGTGATCGTGTACAGCAGTTGCTTCGAATCGGCTTATGGGGTTGGCCAACAAGGCTAGCCAACGCACTATCAAAAATGAGAAAGCTCAATCCACATTCTTCGAAACACCCGTTGACGTCACACTTGCTTGATGGAACGATATTGAGCGTAGTCCGCGTGTCGTAGCACACAGAACAAAATTCGATGGGGTGCATGGTCTTAGGTGTCGATCCTCAGGCGGCAAATGAGATTCTTAAAAAAAACGAGCTCCATTTTCTCTCCTTCAAGGCATGGGTGGCGACAAGTCATCCGAGGAGCCACTGGCGTTGCTTCTCGGGTTGGCGTAGTCCATGGTGGTGAACACGTCTTCGGCGTACGAGTCGATGGGGGCAGCCTGCTTCTCGTCGCCGTTCTCGGGCAAATTCGTCGCGACTTCCAAGGACTTCTCCATGTCGAGAAGCAATCGATGATAACCCGAAGCCTGAACGAAATGGACGAGGAAATTCTCAGCTCCCTGAGCTGCTTTCGTATCCAAGGCAACCAGCATACAATCTGCAAAGTAGCTACGATGACGACACCTCCCGCCAGAAAATTCTGCGCGGGTGTCTAATTTGCATGGACTGAGGTGCGACTCATCCATGCTCTTCGAAGCAAGCAACAGGCAGGAATTTTGCTCTCTCCTTTGTGTAATCGGCTGTGTTTTCAACCATCCATTCATCGTGACCGACCTCTATCTCCTATCGAACACAGTTCACGTGGCTAAACCACTTCACTTTCAAGTAGAGCGAGCACATCATCAGCGTGAAGTACGTTTTGCAGCAGTAATGTCACAGAATTTCGAGACCGATACCTGAGATTTGGTGGTGAAGTGCCTCCATAATGTGGAATCGGAAGACCCCGTAGACAAAGATAGGTCCCAACCTGCTGGAAGGTACATGATGAGATTTTGAATTTCAAGATGGTAAAGTGGTGGCGAGGAAATGAAAATGCACCCGTTTCTAGAAGATTAAATGTATAGAATCAATGGATGACACGCTTGCAATTCGAGAATGACAGCAGATGTGCTAGGGCATTTCGATGACGGAGCAAGAATGGACTCCATGCACTCCACGGCACACACTGAGGATGACTGACTCGGATCGAAAGCCCGCTTACCTGAGGGAACCGGACGGCCGAGCGCAGATGGAGCGAACGCGAGCATCCCCAGGAGCAGGATGACGATCAGCGCTGCCACTCTCTTGCTGCCAGTCTCGACTCTCGCCAGTGCCATGGTGTGTTGCGGTCAAGAGCAGTCGCACCGCTTCAAAATCAGCGTCCCCGGTCGAGTCTACGGGCAGGAACGGAGAGAAGGCAGCAGCGGGGAGGAGAGTAGAGAGATCACTACAGGAGGTATAATAGAAGAGATGGAAGTGCCTGCCTTACACTGTGAATAGTGTCCGCTTCCTTTATATACTGGACGACCCAGGTAAGCCTCTGGCTACGGGCCCTAGCCTTTATCAAAAACAGAAAAAAGTGAAACTCCGAAGAGTCTTTACTAAGAGTCTTTCCTCTGAGGCACGAGGAGTGCACTTACACCTCTATACGGACACACTCATTGCGCTGTGATGATTGATGATTATGTATAACGTTCCCAGTAGCGAGAGTCTAAACGATGATCAGTGCTCGCATTTTGATCGAAACGTCAGCGCGAAATGGAGGAGAGAGATCTCGGGACTGGTGAAAGCCGGGCTACACGAGAGCGGGGGAGAAGATTACATCACCTCAATCAGTCATCAGTCAATAATCCTCATTAATTAGCAGAAGACAAAAGACGCGCGGGTCAATTCGCAGCGCAAGACAAGCGCGGGCGGCTATGACGAGTAGTTTGGGTGAGGACGGTTTAGGCGGACGCTAGATCGTACGAGCGCAGGAGGCGAGCACCGGGATCGCAGCAGCTAAAGTATCACGCTGTGTGTCTTTTAGGGTACGTGATCCACAGTGCGAACTGCTGGATCCTTTCCGGTTCTCGGTGATCCTCGGGACTGAATCTTCGTCGGTAATCTCTGCTCAGAAGAAGATGAGTAGTCGTCCTATGGAAGCTCTTCATGTAGACCGAAGCATGGAGAATGGCCTCACCCCACCATCAATGCTCGTCATAGTAACAAGTTTACGGATTCATCATCAATTCATGGCTGCGGGCGATGCGATGCCGAGCCCGATAAGTGCCTCGTGGATTCCCCGCGGATTCCGTTCCTCGCCCGCCCCGTAGGGCGTACCTTTCCGTAGCAAGTCGACCGGTCGCATGGCAGGTTATTACATCCATGGCCCGGTGTGAGCTCTCGCGCAACCAATGGGCCAACCAGGTCGCCTAGTCCCCTGCATACGAAGAGGGATGCTCCTACCAGGACTCGCGCAGGCCTTCGCTCATAATTTATCCACCGCCATGTCCTCAAATCTTGTCGTATACATGATCACGGTAATATTTGAACTTTTGTACCGTGGTACTCCTTGTTCTTAGCAGGTAGATTCTTGTTGTGTGCTGTACTGTACCTTCACTTCTTCTTCAATCGAATCATATGCAACACGAGCAGCCGGACCCGAGTAGAATGTGCCCCGCTGCAAACCATTGAGCTAATCCATTACGGCCTGGACGGGAAGAGAATATAGAAATGAATGAATAGTACAGGACACTCATATCCAGATGATGTCTTCCCTCAGTGTCATTTTTAGCGTGACCCTGGCGATGATATAAAATGCATAGGATCTCGCGCGTGCCTTCCCAAGATCCTCAAACCTTGCAAGAGAGAGAGAGAGGGAGGGAGGGAGGGACGTATTGCAGTTTGCACCAAATGAGAACATAGATGCTCGGTAATGATAGTGTGCATTAAGCTTGACACCGCGCGTGACTTCCATAGATACTCAAACCTTGCATGACCGCCCGTGATTGCACCTAAAGACTTTTCAAAAGACAAACGGCTGACAAGCTGCAAAAGTTACTCTTTAGAAAATTATGATGTCGACTATGTTGCTGCGTATAGGTCATTTTCTGCGTGACTTGGGTTAAAATATAACAAACATTCGGCAATCGCGACCGTCTTCTCCTCTCTCGCACACTTGGTGTCATACGTCGGACGCAGAATTCTACCCCGACATATTTCACTGGTTGACATATCCGACCACCGCATCCGGTAAAATATCTGCTTTGTCGTATTACCACTTCTGGCAGAAAGCGACTTCGAGAAAAATTTCTTTATAATGGTTGATCATTCCCTTTGGGTGGCGCGACTTTTCGTCTAAGCATGGCTCGAATTTCGTTCGGTGTAGGGAGCCCTCATGGAGCGAATGAAGTGACACATGCGTAACTGCGACAACCAAGTTCTAAAGAGAACATGAATTGAGGCGGAATTTCGTCCGTGGATCGTCCAAGGAGGTGTCAAACCTTCCAGAATAATGCAGTCCAGTTTTTATGCCACGGTCAAACATACCGCGAATACAAGATGGTCGGTATGTGCGTTCCACCTACCAAGAGGAGGAAAAAGTGCTGCAGATCTTCACTTAAATGACTGCAACGCAAACAATCGACATTTATAAGGCTCATTCGCGCTCAGTCACTAGGATATTGAGCCTGCAACCACTGGCAGTCGTTCTCGCAAATTGCCATCCGTGTCTTGCCAGCGGAGCTGACAGACAACAAACGCATTGAGCAAAATTCAAAACCACGTCGCCGTGGCCTCCGGAACAGCTAGATTGGATTGAATACTTTTTGACAACAAAGGCGAGCTGACTCGCAAGGTTTTGCACCCAAGAACACGGCAATCAATTCCTCCAACACTAGACCCCAGCAAATCGGATCAAAAATCTCTGACTTCCTTTAATGCCGGCTCGTTCTTTTCTCTCTCCCTTCCTTTCCCTCCTGCAACTAGTCTGTCGAACTTTCCATTACCTGGACGACCCGACGACGGAAAAGGAACAGAAGGCAAGGCAAGGCGACGCCAGCGGGGAAGAAATTTGTTCCCCCAATTTTTTTCGATCGTGAGCTAAAATCGCCGGATCCCTAAAACCGACCTGACAGTAGTCGAAACAAATAATTTCCGCCCACCGAGAAGAATCCGCCGGGTTGACATGTCGGCTGATCGGCCGACGCCATGGCGATCGATGCAGAAAGCCACAAGGAGAGATAGAGAGAGAGAGAGAGAGAGAGAGATCTGAGCGAGGCCCGGAGATAGATTTCATCGTCGTGCATCAGCGCGACGACAATTGCTCGTGGCGTCTTGAGATGGTCGCCCTAATGTCAGACCCTCCTCGCGCTTCGCCTTCGCCTTCTACGATGAGTTCCGCGCCACGTCTCCCGCGTCCCCAAGCGCCACGCCCGGCAGCCAACGGGCCGGGCGCGGGGGTGCAGCGCGGGCGAGGGGAAGGCCAATCCACCGATCTTAAATCTAAAAAGGCCAAAAGCCGGCCCATTCGGGCTTTGACTTAGCACCGGCTACTTTGGCAGACTTGACTCTTTCCTCGGGCTCCGCACCTACACGCTCACTATATTTGTCGCGTGTCTAGCCACGCAGGGCTTCCCGTTTAGGCCTTGACTTTCGAGATATTAAGACGCCTTTGCTTTACTTTACTTAACTTCAGGTGCTCAAAAGCTCTGTCTCTCCCCGTGCCCTCCCCCTGCCCCGCCCTGCCCTGCCCTGGCCAGTCCCAGTGGGTGCCCTTGGGCCCATTCACTTCCGCCCGGGTGTCCGCCCTCCCTACGCTCATTCATTCCTTTTTGTCTCCTTGCGAGCTGCTGGCTGAGAACGCCATCAGGTGAAACTTCGTCCTCTTGTACAGCGGTTCATAATGTTATACGGCGGTTCTTCGTCCATCCGGAGCACGGCCATGAATGTTCTTTTATTGCGAGCCCCATGTTCTTGACATGTTGTTGATGGCCAGCGCTGTTCCGGTTTATTAGAGCGGGAGAGCTGTTCCTGACCATTTGTGAAATGTGTCTGATATTTTTTTTCCCGCTGCATGTGGAAATGTATTTCGTGCCATTTATGAGAGACCTAAGAGTGTGCTTCGGATGTACCATCGATTCTGCCAAAATCGAGGGTAAAACGAAGGCATCGATGAATACAGTTCCTGAACCTTAAATGTTTCGATTTCCATGAAAAACTCGAGTTATGTGATATTTCGGAAAAATTCAACACATTTTTGCATGGATTTTAAAACTCGAAGTGAATGTCCTGACATAAATTTCCATACAATAAACATGAGACTTATTAAAATAGGAATCTCAACCACTTCAAATTCCATATTTTCTCTGAGCGAATACCAAGAGCAGCAAGTACATATCCCCAAAAAAGTCCGATTCTAATGATTCTAATGCTTTGACCAGCTTTTGATCCAAATCTTCTATCTTCGTTGGCATAAATGTTCAAACAGTGGATTGGTTCCAACGATGTGACTAAAGTTTATCTATTACTCTTTTTCTCTACTGAACAAATGATGAATAAAAACCCATTTAAAACTATGATTATCAACAAACAAAAGTGAAGAAATTGGATTTACCTTTTTTGAAGACTGAGAAATCAGTTAATCAAAGCATACCCATATGATAATATACTTACATGTATAGTTCCATGATGATCTGTAAGACCCTAAATGTGAAGATAGAGTTAATATAATTTTCCATAGGATAGTTAAGAATATCATATCTTTTTTTAGTAGCTTAGATTATTTTGTAATAGGATTTTTCAATGAACAATTGTAACAATAGACCTTGCATATCTTATTGGAGAGATTTTGTAGACATATAGTTAAAATATGGGGAAATCAATTGAATTATTATTTAATCATGATTATATACAAATATATCTAAAATATGAATATCCTTATATATATAATAATAATAATTGCATTAAAAAATATTTTTTCTTGTTCGAATTATATTTTTTAATGCATTTCCTGATCTTACATTTCAAAATCTTTTAAAAAAATATTCTTACAATGTTCAATCTTTAGTAATTTCGTATCTAGATTGATAAATTTTAAAATTTTTTTAAATTTTATTTTAATATGTTCAAAATAAAATAAAATTTTAATTAAAGTATATATGATTTATCATTGATATACCTGCTTGTACATCATTTTATTAAATTTGAAAAATACACTACATTATATAATATCATGAAATTGTACGGAAGCTTGATGTGGCTGAACCTTAAAATAATTCAAAGATTTGTAATTAGACAATGGAGGAAAGTTTTGCCTATGAATAATCTATGGTAAGAAAGACACAATTTTCTAATGTTGTTGGTGTTGCCATATGCCAATGATTAGAGTGACTAGTTTAAAACAATAATCAATGGGTCGAGCAATTTTGAGTATAGAAGTATGTAGGTTAACATTCTATATTAAATAAATATTGTGACAGCTCTAAGTTTGACGTACTATATTCAAGACAATGAGCAAGAGTTCACCATACATGACAATATTGTTAACACTCT